CCATCCTGACATCGAACCGTTGATCACTACCCGCTGGGCCCGGCCTTCTAGCCATCTTTCTATCCATCTTACCGTCCATTTATCCAATCCACAATCCCTTAACTTGCTGGCAAGAATATTGTGGGAGACCGTATCAAAAGCCTTGCTAAAGTCAAGGTATATAACATCCACTGACTTCCCCATGTCCACCGAGCCAGTTACCTCATCATAGAAGCTAATCAGATTGGTCAGGCACGACTTGCCCTTTGTGAATCCATGCTGACTATTCCTAATCACTTTCCTCTCATCCAAGTGCCTCAATATGGATTCCTTAAGGATCCCTTCCATGATTTTTCCAGGAACCGAGGTAAGACTGACCGGCCTATAGTTCCCTGGATCATCCTTCTTCCCTTTTTTGAAGATGGGCACTACATTTGCATTTTTCCAGTAATCCGGGATTTCTCCCGATCTCCACGACTTTTCAAAGATAATAGCCAAAGGCTCCACAATGACATTTGCCAACTCCCTCAGTACCCTCGGATGCACTAAGTCCGGACCCATGGATTTATGTACGGTTAGCTTTTCTAAATAGTTCCTAACCTGTTCTTTACCCACCACGGGATGGCATCTCTGAGTAGGGGCACAGCAATCTAGACCCTCTGTCTAGGAGCTGGAGAGTCATGTCTGCCACTTACAGGGAGCAACCTAAACTAAGGGCCACGTGGAGCCCACACCTCTCACACCTCAGAGCATAAGAACGGCCATACTGGGTCAAACCAAAGTTCCATCTAGCATCCCAAAATGCTAAATCAAGGAAGTAACCTCATTAGTAATAAGCTCCATGTACACAATGTTCATCTCAGTCCGGTATCCCTTTAGAAGAACAGCAACAGTTTACCCAAATTACAAGGTAAATAATAAGAGATTTTGCCATTATCGAGGTACAACGAGTGTCACCACCACCGTTAAACTGTATCTCAGCCAGGACAAGACCTTTCCCAAGGCATAGGGCAGCTTTCCCTATGACACCTCGAGGAACCTCAATTTCTAAAGAAAGTATTACTGCATTTTCACAATGGAAAATGACTTTGGAATAGACAGAATCCTCTTTGTCACTTAGGGTTCATCCACTCCATTTTTGTATTGTTATAACTTGTTTGATTTGAATTTCCATTGACTACTCGATTGGTTGATAAAGAGGTTTGTTGTGGCTCTGCTTTTAAAATGTAGTAAGAGCTGCCAAGCTCTTACCACATTAGAAAGGCAGAACTGTAGCAACCGGGGACAAGCTGGGACAGCCGAGTCCCAGCTCATACCTAGTACCAGATGCTGCATTTCTGCTTTTACTACATTTTAAAAGCATAACCACGGCATCTGGGACCAGGCACGAGCAGGGACTGCTTAGTCACAGCTCGTGCCAGGTCCCCTGCTACACCTCTGCCTCCCCTGCCTTCCGATGGTGATGGTGGGAACTGGCTTTTAAGCCAGCTCCCCCCTAGCACCAGCTCCTGCTCCCTCCCTTGCTGCCTCTTTTTCAGAGGCAGCAAGGGAGCAGGGGGAAGCAACTAGTCAAGTAGCAACTTGGCTACCTGAGAAGCCTAGGCTTATACTCGCTTACATCCCTAGTTTGATTTAAGAACCAATATTACTCCTGGGGAATTTTGCATCACCGCACATGTGCAGACTTCATGGCCCCCACAGATTTCTTTGCTTCCCCACAGAAAAATGAGCTGATGGGGGAAGTAAAGAGAAGCCAGAAGGGGAGAGAGGGAGGGAGAGAGAGAAAGACTGTGCTTGCAGCAGGCTCAGTATAGAGGGTCAAGGCTTTGGGATGTTTCTGAGGAGGTGGATGCGGAGCAGGCTGTCTCTCCTCAGGCAGAGTAGAATGTGGCAACCTGTCTGCTTAGTGAATTGTTCCATTGTTCTTAACGAACTCCCCCAAGAGTATAGAACAGGTGTAAACATTTTAAGGCATCTTTACACTGCCAGAGTGGAGTAAATGAGCCTTACTGTAAAGAACAGTAGAGCCTTATAAATTCTTATGAACTGTTTGCTACTGATCTTTCTGAAAATGCTCAGTAGTCAAAAAAATGTGTTTGAGTCCTCAGCCCTCACTTGCTTTTCAGTTGCTTCCAATGTAATACTGAGCATATCAGTCAACAAATATATGCAGCCATAACTAGAAGTAATTATTATTAGACAGAGGGAGTTTGGGGATTTCCTCCAATGCTCCCAAATTCCATTCTCCATCCATTGTACTATAGTTTAAATAAACAAAATTACCAATATAATTGGAACCAGTATGATTGTATTGTGTTATTTTAAGATATAAAATATGAAGATTTTTTCAGAATTTGTAAATATTGTGCACAGAATGATTTAATTTTTTGGTGCAGAATTCCCCTATAGCACAGTATAAAGTAGAAAAGTAGAACCTCAGAGTTACAAACAGCTCCGGAATGGAGTTTGTTTGTAACTGTGAACAAAACATGGCTGTACTTTTAAAAGTGTACAACTGATCATTGATTTCATACAGCTTTTTATTATGCAAAAGAAAAATGCTGCTTTCCCTTAATTTTCTTAGTACTTTACATTTAACACAGTACTGTACTGTATTTGCTTTTTTCCCCCTCTGCTGCTGCCTGATTGAAGTGTGTGGTTGAGTAGTCAGTACATAACTCTGGTGTTTGTAAATTGTAGGGGAGCCTGGACTACGCTGCCTTGGCAATAAATGGTGATGTCTGCCTTATTCAAAGTGCAGCTTTCTGGCCTCTTTCAAATCTAGTGCGTCAAAGCACACGGGCAGGGTCAAAGGAAGCTGTGAGAGTCAGGAAATGTTTTGCATAACAATACAGATTAAGCATGGCACACAAGACCACGTCAAGAACACACAGGACAAGCTGCCTTGTACTGTTACTTGTTTCTGATAAGCAAAAAGTACAGATGTAGCCATGAAACTGTCAACTGGGCACATAGCAGTAACATCCTAAGTAGCAGGATGTACCCCAAATAGGGGCACTGAGCATTTTATGTGTCCTACACAATATATAATCAATTGGTAAACATTAAGGCTGTGTCTACACTGGCATGAATTTCCGGAACTGCTTAAAACGGAATACTATTCTGTTTTCAGTTTTTCCGGAAAAGGAGCGTCTACATTGGCAGGCTGCTTTTCTGGAAAAGCCCTTTTTCCGGAAAAGCGTCCGTGGCCAATGTAGACGCGCTTTTCCGGAAAAGAGCCCCGATCGTCATTTTCGCAATTGGGGCTTTTTTCCGGAAAAGACTACTGGGCTGTCTACACAGGCCCTTTTCCGGAACAGTGTTCCGGAATAAGGACTTATGCCTGAGCGGGAGCAGAATAGTTTTTCCGGAATAGCGGCTGATTTTGTACAGTAGAGCATTGTTGCTTTTCCGGAAATTCAAGGGCCAGTGTAGACAGCTCGCAGCTTA